CCCGCACCCCACGCCCTCTCTCCGCTTTCCTGGACTGGGGTCCGCCTGCCGTCGCTTCTCCCGGGGCCCAGGCCCTGTGTCCTGCCGATCCCGTTAGGGGACTCCTGCCAAGGCACCCAAAGGGGTCCCTGTTCTCTGGGCGCCCTATGGGGACGCTGGTGGTGGACTGGCTGCTCCACCCCCGCCCCCGCGCACCCATCTCCGCACCCCACGCCCTCTCTCCGCTTTCCTGGACTGGGGTCCGCCTGCCGTCGCTTCTCCCGGGGCCCAGGCCCTGTGTCCTGCCGATCCCGTTAGGGGACTCCTGCCAAGGCACCCAAAGGGGTCCCTGTTCTCTGGGCGCCCTATGGGGACGCTGGTGGTGGACTGGCTGCTCCACCCCCGCCCCCGCGCACCCATCTCGCTCACCCTCTTCCTCTGGGCGCGGCGGGAACCTCCCGTGGATGCGGGTCCTCCGGACGCCTCCACTCCTAGAGCCAGTGCTTCATCACGGGACTGCTGAGACCCCCTCAGGCCGCTCTGTGTCCCAAGCAAGTGGGTCACTGGTGACCAAGTGACAAGTGACCCTGATGGGGCTCATAAGGCAGACAGGAAGGAGGATTGTGACCCGCAGGTCCTGGGGCGCAGCGCACAAGCGCACACACTCAGCAGTCAGTAAGCAGGAGGCAAGTGGGGCCAGAACATTATCCAAACAGGTTTTTCCACAAGCTTTGGTGTTTTGTCATTGTTGGTTTGGGGGCAAAGATTGAGCCCAGGGCCTTGTACATGCTGCACAAGCTCTCTACCACTGAGCTACATCTCCAGGCCTTGTTTTAAGTTTTAAGAATGGGCTTGCTGTGTTGCCCACGCTGGCCTTCAGCTCTTGGGTTCAAACGGTCCTCCTGCCTCAGCTTCCAGAGTGCTGAGTCCACAGGTGCCAGTGCCACCGTGCCAGCTGCTCATGAGGACTTTAAACTGGTAGGTTGAAAGCAGGCGGGCCTGCATCTCGTGGGTTCTGCTTCCTCTGAGGAATCCCTGAATGTCCCTACAGCTCCAGCGGGTGTGGGCATCTGGGGGGTGAGTCCAGTAGCGGATCCAGCTGACCCAAGGGGAGGTGGTGGCCCAGCAGAGAGCTGGGTGGGCCACATGAAGAACTGGGGGCAGGCCTGGAATTGGAGCTCAGCTGCTGCTCCGATGAAGTTACACTTGTTCTCGAAATTCTTTCATTCTATTCTGTTTTGTTTTTGTTTTTGGAGACAGGATCTCGCTATGTGGCCCAGGCTGGCCTTGAATTCATGGCGATCCTCCTACCTCGGCCTCCCGAGTACAAGGATTGTAGGCATGTACTACTGTGTCTAGCTCTGTAGGGAATTCTTATAATTAAGGATTTTGAAGCCAGATATGATGGCACACGCCTGTAATACTCGAGAGGCTGAGGTAGGAGGATTGCTGCAAGTTCGAGGTCAGGGATTTAGATCAGTGGCGCCGTTGCCTGCCTTGGGCAAGGTCCTGAGTTTGATCCCTGCTACCAAAAAAAAATTTTTTTAATACAATATGTAGCAAGTCCCTGTCTCAGAAAAAAATAAAGGATATTCACTGCAGGGCTCTAATGTGGCATTCTACCCAGGCTGCCACTCCCTGAGCAGCAACAGTGGAGGCGCAGGGGTGCTGACCCAGGAGGTGCAGGTCAGGGTGCTGGGTTTGCTTGTCGATCCGTGTCCGAGGTGAGCTCGGCCTCTGCACAGGGAGTGTCGCAGACAGCCCCTCCTGGCAGACAGAGGCCCAGACTGGCACAGGCCCCAGCTCAGTCCAAGGTGTAGGGAATGGGGGACGGTTGTGGCAGAGCCAGGTCCTCCCAGAGGCCAGCAGTGCCAGCAGGGGCCAGCAGGGGGCAGGAGAGGGCAGGCTGGCTCAGGGAGAGGCAGGCCCTGCAGGTAGGTTATAGGTCGCCTGACGGCTCTTTAAGGGCCTCTCCTTCCCTACCTGTGACCCAGAAGGGTGAGGCAGTAGTGGGGTTCTGCTTGAGATGCACGAAGAGTGCACCCTCAGAAGTGTATGAGGCTCTGTGGGTCCACAGCTCATTCCCTCCCAGCTCCTCTGCAGCAGTAGGTGACCCCGGCAGGTGCGGCCCCACCACCAGCTTCAGGACATTCCCCTTGGGGAGGTAGGGGCTGGGCCACGCCAGGAGCCCAGGCAGGCCTTTCCCACAAGCAGCAGGGGATGGGCTCACCTGGCACCGCCCACCCAGGGCCTTACCACCACCGCCCTGGTCCCTGCCACCTCCCTTCCAGCCCACTGCCCACCTGCCACCTAGGCTCAAGTCCCACCCTCCATTCCACCCCTGCAGCCATCAGCCCCAGGGGGACTCCAAGTCACAAGTCAGGTCCTGTCACACCCAGACCCTCCAGCCCGGGCCCCATGAGACGGACACCCTCAGCCCAGTGGGGCTTCAGCCTGGTTTACTGCTCTGCTTGTTCCTGGGGGCCAGGAAGGTGCTCTGAGCTGCCATTTAGCAGAGCATGACAAGGCAGGAGAAGGGTGTAGGGACGCTGCTGTGGCCCTGACAGACACCACCCGCCAAGAGTCACATTTGTCCCTTTATTGTCCATGCTGCCTCCCTCCCTGAGCCCACTGTGGCTCATTCGCGGGGTCTCCGGGCCAGAACCATGGACACAGCAGGACCAGGGCACCTCAGTCCCAGAGGTTCACAGGGTCCAGATTTGGGCCCCACAAACCACAAACCGGATGTCCCCAGCCCCTAGAGCCCTGCCCCACTTCTCCCAGCCCAGCCTGCTCAGCTTTTGTTCTGGGCAGACAGGGGCATCCCAAGCCCCTTTCCTCCTTGATCAGCCTGTGAAACAGCCTCCTACCACCTCTCCCCACCCTGCCTGCCTCCCGGGGCCCCAAAGCCCACCTGCTTCCCCCAGCCTCCCCCAGCTGCTCCTCCCTCCTGGCTTCCTGGTCTGTGACCCTGGCTTGCCCCAGCATGGCCCATGAGGCCGGATGCCGCTGGTTTGGTTGCAACATCCAGCCCTATACCCCCTCTGCCCCCGCCCCCAGGGCGGGTGCTCAGGCCTGGAACCAGCCCTCCAGGTCTTCGTAGACTTGGCCACGGGGCAGATAGGGGTAGCGGGCACAGATGGTGCAGAAACGCTCCCGCCAGTCAGTGAGCAGCCGCACACGGAGTCGGTCACGCCAGGCGAAGAAGCGTTGGTATCGGCTCGTGTTCATGCCAGTGAGGAAAGCAGCCAGCTCACGGGCAGAGCCAAAGTCATCCACGTGTATGAAGGCGTCAGGAGGCACAAAGGCCTCGTAAGTGGCCCGTGGGGGCCCCAGCACCACGGGCACGGTCCCGGCCAACAGTGCATTGCGCCAGAACTTCTCCGTGATGTAGTCTCGGTGCTGAGAGTTCTCAAAAGACAGGTAGAAGTGGTACCGGGCCACCGTGGACACCAGACAGTTGGTACACAGTGGCCGCCCGCTGGCACGGCCAAACACATCCACCTGCAGGTGGGGTGCCAGCTGCCGGTACAGCCGGGCACGTTGCTGCCGCTCCTGGAAGTTGCTGACCACCCAGGCGGCCAAACGGCTCTTGGCCGGCAGTGGGGGTGCGGGGCTGGAGCGGGGCTCCAGCCGGCCATAGGGCACGAAGATGTCGGAGTCACTCCGGTAGCTCAGCACCCAGTTGAAGATGCCACGGAGGCGACGGAGCCCGCGCGTGTGGCTGGGAGATTCCATGGAAGCCCAGACCCAGGGCTGCCCCTGTGGCCGCTGGGCCAGGGGCAGACGGGTCCGTTGGGTCTGCAGCTCGCGGTGGTGGAAGACTACCATGTCAGCACTCGTGAGTAGGCTTCGGTTAGTGCTCAGGAGGCAGTGGGCCACGCCATAGCGGGCACAGGTGTCACCTGGCAGCTCTGGAGGCTGTTCTGTGAAGGGCCAGTGCCAGATGAGAATGGTGACCATGGGCTGGGGTGCCGGGGCAGCCCCTGGTGCCGGTCCCAGCAACCTCAGGAGCCAGAGGCCCGAGAGCATGGCCCCTACTGCCAGACACCCCCAGGCCTGAAGCCTCCAGGGAGGGCCTCGCCCTGCAGCAGGACAGGAAAACAGGCTGTCACCCCAGGCTTGGGGACATGCATGGGTTCCCCTGCCCCACCACCCACACCCTCCTGGAGGGCCATGCACTCACCAGAATTAGTCATCCAGAGCCTCCTGGAATCAGTCAGCCCAAAGATCTGAGGTTCTCAAATCACAGCAGCCACCTCAAAAGCAGCACCCTGAAATCACGGCTGGGCCCAGACTCAGCTGTTGCCTGGAAGCCCTCCTCTTTCATCTGCCCAAGGTGAGGGAAGCCGGGGGGCCTTCCTGCTGCAGCTCCGCCCCACCCCTGCCCCCCCAGCCTCTGGCATCAACCACCATCCCCACCCCCACCTCTCTGGCTGCCAGGCGTGGGGTTCGCAACAGGAAGAGCCTTAAACCAGGCCCCCTGCCCACCTCTACCAGGCCCCAGATAGGCCAGGAGATGACCAGTAGGAGGGAGGTGCCCACATGGCACCTGAGTGGCTGCCCTTCCTCATATGGGCACCCCAGCCACTGCCTGCACAGGCCTGGGCACCCAGTGAGAGTAGGCACACTTCCCTAGGCGGCACGGCCCCTCCCTGTGGCATCAGCCACTTCCCCTGCTCTCACCCTCTGCTCTCACCCTCTGCCGGCCGTGGTCTCCTGGACCCTCAGGTGCCACAGATGTGTGTGCTCAGCGATTTCAGGAGACTGAGGTTTCTCATCAGCCCAGCCCAGCCCACCCCACCCCTGTCACTTCAAGGAACTGCCTGGGGCCCTGAATCTAGATGAAGGGGCAGGGGTACCAGAGTTTCTTCGTGGAGCCCTGCATGTGCTGGGGGGGGCAGGCCCTGAGTGGTATGGAGCAGCAGGAGGGAGGGGGCCTGCAGGCTGGGCCCCAGGTCCTGGGTGGGCTGGGAAGGGCTATACTCACTCATTTCCTCTCTGATGCCTCGGGAGGGGGCTTTCCAGACTGGAAAGGGAAGGAGTCGTCCTGTCCCTGATGCTGACGGGCAGGGGGCTAGTGCCTGTGCCAGGAAAAGGAAGGCCAAATGCAGCCTGAGTCCCCTCTCCAGCCAGCCTGGTGGCCCGGGTAACTACGGAGGTCAAGTTCCTTCCCCTTTCACCCAGCCCCTCCAAGTAAGCGATGCAGCAGCCCTGAGCAGGCCAGCCTGGCATGGCCCGCCAGGTCACCCCAAGCTCAGACCTGCAGCCCAGGACCCCACATGCCCCAGGTACAGCTATGCCTGGGTCACATGCAGGGTCCCAAGAGGGGCAGCAAAGGGCCTGCAGTCCCAGCTCCATCTTGGGGCCCCACAGCCCGCCAAACCCCATCCTGTCACCCCGGGGCACCATGAATGCTGGTCTCCTGCACTTGTGGCTCCATGGGAAGACGACTGTGGATGGGAACCAGGCAGCTGGCGGCAGAGCTCCAGGGCTGCGGCATTCGCAGTGCCCCCACCCTGTGGCTTGCCTGGTTACCAGGCTGTGGTGGGAAACTTGTGCAATGGCAGGGAGGGCGGGCAACTGCACAAAGGCTGGAAGCCAGCATGAGGGACTCTGCTCCCAGAGGGCTAGAGAGTGGGCAGCTAGGCCTGGCTCTCTCCTGATGGCCACCCTGTGCCTGTGGAGATGCCTGCAGGGCACCTGTGCTGAAGCCCCTCCTCTGGCATCGCTCCCCAAAGGGGACCCCAGAGGAACACACCCTGGCTCTTCAGCCCCATCTCTTTTTCCCTGTGTGGCTCCCCTGACTGCAGCGCAAGGCCACCAGAAGCTGGTGGCCAGAGCTACCGTCCTTCCTGTTTGTGCCATCAGGCTGGTGAGGGCCCTGCCTCAGCCTCACCCACACCCACAGCCAGCTCCTTCCTGGGTGGATTCGGAGTCTCTCCTCCCTCCCCCAAGGTTCCACCCAGCTGCTGCCTAGCTTATGTTGAGGGCCCCCACGTGTGGGAACCCGGTAGCCCCAAAATAGCTAGGGAATGTGAGAGGGTGTGAGATAGCAGGACCCAAGAAATCTGGGGGGTCCCAACCTGCCACCTCCTGCCTCCTGATCCCTGCCAGGCTTCCTGATTGCCCAGGCTCTGGAGGACACCAGTGGGCCCCAGTACCCCAGCTCAGAAGCCTGGAGGCGAGGGGAGGCAGTCAGAATCGCACACTGCCCAGCCAGGGCTTCCTGGTCCCTCCAGGCCCCCAGCGGGGAGCACTTTGGGCAGAGAGAGCACAGCAGCATCCAGCTGGCAGGAGGGTGAGGGGCCACGCCCCAGCCGGGGAAGCTCAGGGAGCCAGGCCAAGCCTGCACTGAGCAGGCACAAGGGCCCCCTGGCGACCATGCCCCAAAGCGACTGGCTCCTGCTGCGAACACTGGGGCTGGGCGGAGCTTCAGGAAGGTGGGTCTGCAGAGAGCTGGGGGCGCTGCAGGCCAGCAGGTGGCCTGAGGGAGTGCCCTGGCCCAGGCAGCAGGAGTGTAGTCCCAGTGGGCCACCGAGGGTGTGGTGCAGGCCTGGCCCCTCCCAGCACCTGGGAGTTGGGGAGCACAGGCTCCTCCTCAGCAGCAGCCCTGGGGCCAGCTGCAGAATCAAGGTGGGGAGGCTGCTCTCCAGGGACCTGTGAGGCACACCCCAACTTTGCATGTTCTCTTCCGTTCATGCCACATGGATGGTGGGAGGCTGCAGCTGGGGCAGCAGCATGGGCTGGAGAGTACCACACACCCCAGACTCTGGGCTGGGCCTCACAGAACGCTGTGCTTCAGGCTATGCATGGGCTTTCCCTATAGTTGTGCTGGACAGGGAGTTGTCACCCCGGCATCTGTGCTCTGGGAGGCACAGGCGTGTTCTGCCAGAGCTGCTGGAGCTCGGCCGCCTCATGCTTTGGGCTCCTGTGAGAAGCAGGTGTGGGAGGCGCCCGGCTGCTGCAGCTGGGCCTGTGCAGGCTCGGGATGAGGAGGACCCAGGGCCCTGGCACAGCAGTCAGGGTTGAGTTGGGGAAGGTGTGCACAGAGCCAGCACAGGGACTCCCAGGTTCTGGTAGAAGGGAAGAGGCTAATGTGGCCCTGGCAAGGCCCTCACCAGGACCGGGGTCCCCAGCCTCACTCCAGAGCAGCCCATGTGCACCTGGGCCTGACAAGGAGGGGTCTGAACCTCACCGCTGAGCTGAGCCAAATGGGGTTCTGCCAGGTAAGTGGGTCAGGAGGGCTCTGGACACCTTTCTCCAGCCAGGAGACCCTCCAGAACCTCTGAGAGTGAGCAGCAGCCCTTGGGACAGACAGCAGACCCACCAAAGGTCAAGAGGATGGACGCGGAGGAGGCAGGTATGACACACGGCTGTGATCTTGGCACTCAGGGAGACTGAGGCGGGGAGATCTCAATGTCAAGCCCAGACCAAGTAACACAGACCTTGTCTCAAAATAAAAATGCTTTAAAAGAGTTGGGGGTGTGGCTCAGTGCAAAGGCCTTGGGTCCAATTCTCCCCTGGTACTGTTAAAAGTAAAACAAAAAAAGAAAAAGAGAGGTTGGGGATTTAGCTCAGTGGTGCCACAGCCTGCCTCAAAAGCTCAAGGTCCAGAGTTTGATCCCTGGTACCAAAAAAAAAAAGAGAGAGAGAGAAGAAGAAAAAGAAGGAAGGAAGAAGAGGAGGAGGGGAAAGGGGGAGGGGAGGCGAAGGGGAAGGAGGTGACAGGTGGCTGCTCTGGACCCCAGGCAGCCAGGAGGCACCCCTTGGGTCTGAGCCAGGACTCCAGGAAGACCCCTGCCAGGCTCTGTAAGCTTGGCTGGAGAAGCAGCCTGCTGTGCACGAAGCCCCCTGGGCCCTGTAGAGCCCCCACCCTGCACTGTCTCTGTCACTGCTCCACACAAGTGCCACGTACACTCTTTTGTTTTGAGACAGGGTCTCGCTATGTAGTTCAGGTTGGCCTTGAACTCACTGCATAGCCTAGGCTGGCCTCGAACTCACTGTGATCCTCCTGCCTCAGCCTCCTAAGTGCCACGCCACGCTCAGCTGCCCCTTCCACTCTCGAGGGCCCTGCCCATCCTAATTACTTGCTCTCATCTGAGAGGGTCTGAAGGCCCCTCATTCGGCCGAGTCCAGCCCCAGGTATTGAGGGTCCCGGGTTCACCCTGGAGAACGTACTCCAAGTCCCTCTGCCTGGAACACCCCACTCTATACTGCATGAGCCCAGGTGGACGGCAGGCAGGATGGAGATGCTGGGTGCCACACCCAGGTGTATCAGCCCTGTTCCTCCCAGATGGGGTCTTCCAAATCAGTGCCTGGATCTACACCACCACCCCTCCTCCATGGCGGCCCACTCAAGAGGGTCAGGATGTCCTGTCCAGCCCTGGGGATCCTCCCCTCCAGCCACCTCTCTCTGGCACAGGAAGAGGCCTCAGACCCCAACAGGGGTCCCAGTGCAGGGCAATGCAGGTCCACTGAACCTCCAGCACAGCCGAAAGCGCGGGCATTAAAGGTACTTTAATTGGCTTTTGTCTCCAGGATTCCCCAGCCACACCTGGGCTCGCCCCTCTCCTTCCAGTTTGGAGCCTCAGACTGGACAGGGGAGGTACAAGGGGACCAAGGTCTCCCGGCACACAGCAGGCTCTCTCTGGCAGGGGCCCTGCACCAGTGTCAGCCTTGGCATGGGCACGGTCAGCAGCGTTCTTCCCCAGGCTCCTGCCACTGCGGGCAGCGGTGAGCAAGTGGTGGGCATGGCCTCGGTCACTGCAGTGGGGGCGGTGAGCAGGGTCCCGGCGGGGGCACCGGCAGCGAGGAGTGGTCGAACAGTGGGTTGCGCACCTCCATCTCCCCAGTCTGTGGAGGCAGCACTGGTCAGGCCTGGGCTGCAAGATGCCCGCTGGGAGCCCCCGCCCCTGCTGGGGGCCCATGTGTGCCTACCGGTGCAAGGCCCGGACACTCATACACCGTGAAGTCGCCGTCTTCATTCTCCTCATCCGAAGAGACCGCCTCCAGCTCCTTGGGGGGCTCCTTGTGCCTGGGTGAGGGTGGGATCACTGGGTCCTCCGCATGCCCTCCAGGGACCCAGGTGAGCACATGGCACGCCCCTGCCCTGTGGCGGCCGAGGTAGGGGATGGGGCTGGGGGCAGGGGAGGGATGAGGTGCCACTGGGTCCAGAGGGGTGGGACACCCGTGTCACCGTGCTGGGGGCTTACCGCTTCAGGCACAGCATCTGCTGCCTCTGGTGCTGGTAGTGGTACATCTCCGCACTGTGTGCCAGCCGCTGGTCCCCGGGCTGTGGGGACAAAGGGAAGGGTAGGGAGGAGGCAGGTGGCAGCTGGGGCTGGAGCGTGCAGTGGGGCCGCAGGGCAAGGCTGGAGCCCAGGGAGTGGGGCCGGAGGCTGGAGGGGTGCAGCTGGAAGGGGCCCACAGGTGGAGGCTGTTGGGGTGTGGCCAGAGGCTGGGGGACAAGGCCAGAACTGGGCCACACACCGAAATCCGGGGTGTCCTGGGCGAGCTGGGTGCCTTTGCAGCTGCATAGTCGGCCTTCTGGGTCAGGCGGATCTCTCGCTGCAGCCTGCAGGAGGGGTGGCTGAGATCACTCTGGGGAGGGTGGGTGGTACCACCTGCTGCCCCCAGCCCACCCCACCTGTGCCCAGCTCACCTACACCAGCAGAGCGTGGCCACAGCGAGGGCGGTGGCGCCAGACATGCAGAACACAATGAGGAGCACTGTGGGAAGGGAGTGGTGAGGGGAGGCCCAGGGCCACCCCCAACCTTCCTGCCCTTCCCACAGGCCACCTACCGAAGGCAAGGCCCTCACCATGCCCACCCCGGGGCTCCAGGGGCGCAATGTGCACTGGCCCAGAAGACGCTGGGGCGCCCAAGGAGGTGCGGGGTGTGGGCGTGGGGGCTCCCCGAGTGGAGGGCAGGCCAGGCTCAGGTCTCTGATCACGCTCTGAGGAACCTGGGGTAACTGCTGAGAGAGGGGGTTTCGGTCAGCGGGACCAGGAGGCTGGGGTTAAAGGGTGGCAACAGGGAAACCAGGCCAGAGTCTCACCAGGCTCCAGGAGCCGATGTCGGGCCTCAGGGAGGGGTTGCGCCAGGAGCTGTGAGGGCCTGGCCTCCTCCAGCACCAGCTGCTGAGCCAAGCGGTCGATCTCATCTTCCAGCCTGGGCAGGGGGGGCCCCTTCCCTGGAGAGGCAGGGCCGTCAGGTGCAGAGGTCCCTGCCCCTCAGCCAGCCCAAGGCCCCTCTGCAAACCAGGTTGCCATGACTACAGCTGCAGAAGCTTCCTGAGCTGTAGGGTCCCAGGAAAAGTGGGGCCAGGAAGAGGTGCTAGGAGAAGCAGCAGAGACCCAGCAGAGAAAGGAACAGGGACTCCCCCTGGTTGTGTCCACAAAGGGAAGGGCAGAACACCAGGCCACCATGGCCACCACCAGGCCACCATGTCTCCCCATCCATCTGCTCTGGATGGGGAGACAATGACCTTCAAAGGAATGGGGAGAGGCCAAAGTACAGCCCTATATCAAGGCTGTCCCGGCCAGGGGTGGTGGCGCTGCCTGTCATCCCGGCACTCGAGAGGCTGAGGCAGGAGGATCACTGTGAGTTAGAGGCTAGCCTGGGCTACACACTGAGCTCAAGGACAGCCTGAACTACATCGAGACCCTGTCTCAAAAAGACAACAAAAAAGGCTGTCCCTTGGGTGGTCTGGACAAGAGATGGCAGTGGAGGGGCAGCTGGTCCTGGAGCTCACCGATCTCTACCAGGGCCCCTGTCCGGGCAGACTCTCCTGAGTACAGACCACATGCAAGATGAGGCGGGAAGACAGTAGCACCCTTCTCCAGCACTGTCCCCAGGTGCCACCCACATCTCTCTGTAAAGCTCTGTCATACCCGGAGGCATGCCACTCAGCGAACAGCCTCCCTACCCCCGGGGGACAACAGAACTTCCCAGTCAGGACAGCAGACCCAAGGGTGGGGACAGAATCCTCCAGCAGCAGCTCTGACCCCTCCTTTCCTGAGGCTCCACCCAGCAGGCCCTGGCTCCGACCCAGCTCCTAGAGTGACTTGAGGCCTGGAGGCCACGCTCACCAGCTTAGGGGCCACACCCCTGCCATGTACTCTCACATACCCTGCGGTCGGCGGATCCTGGGCACACACAGCCCCTGCTGGTCCTCCTGGAAGGGCTGAAGGCACGGCCCGCAAGCATGCGCACCTGGGGGACATCGGGAGCGCCTCTTCAGGGCACAGTCCAGGCTCCCGGGGCAGGCAGCTGCATCTGGGAAGAAAGCAGGATCAGGGGCTCACAGCCCTCAGCCAGCCTCCCCTCCCCCACAGTGCTGGCCCAGCCTGGCTCCGGCCATTGTTCTGGGCCAGCAGGCTTTCCCTTTGCTCTGCCAGGGCTCAGAACCAGGAAGCAAACAGTTCCAAGACTTATGGGAACTCCGCTGCCCCACCCACTCCCCTGAGCCTGTGCCTTTGGCTATGCACAGCCAGGCCAGAAGCTGACCCCCACCATCCAGGCAGCCCTGGGCTCTTCTGGGCCAGGCTGTTCCAACCCCCATGGCTGCGCTCTGGTCTCACTGCTCCAGAGCAAACTGAACCTGGGAGCTCCAAAGAGACCCAGGCTCTGCCTTGGGAGCAGCACCTCTCATGCCACCCCATCACGGCTCCACAAAACAGACTCAGAAAGACCCTAAAGCAAGGGCCAGTTGAGAAGATGCTGCTGCTGCTACTAGTCCAGCCTGTCCTCAGGGCAGGGAAGCCACTGCAGTTGGCTGGACCCACAGCCTCAGGAGGCCTGGGCTGGGCAGTGCTGGGGACTCCAGGCCAGGCTCTCCTTCTGAACCATTTTCTTTTCGCTGATTTGGAACCCAGTCCATGGTGCTCCGACAGCCAATTGGTCCTCTCATTCTGCCGGAGCACGGGAGTGGCAGCCCTCTGTTTCCCCCTTGGGATGCAGAAGTTCAGTTGCTTCAAAGCTAAGGAACAGCCAGGCGTGGTGGTGCATGCTTGTAATCCCAGCACTCGGAAGGCAGAGGCAGGAGGATTGCTGTGAGTTCGAGACTAACCTGGTCTACATAGTGAGTTCCAGGTCAGTCTCAACTACATAGTGAGACCCTGTCTCAAAGCAAACAAGCAAACAAAAAAAGCTAAGGAACATCTCCAAGTTGAGACACTGGTCGCAGTCAGGGCAAGCCCAGAGGATCCAGCAGGACCAGTGTCCCTGCTCCTCCCAGCCCCCACCCTCGCTGCAGGCAGGGCCACTAGGGCCCAGAGTGACGTGACATGGAAGATGTGCCCTTCTCCAGACCTTGGCTGGCCTAGCTTGGTTTCCTTGGAAACCTGACACTCCCTGGCTCCAGGCTGCAAGCATCCTTGCAAGGAAGTCCCAGCAGCCCCAGTGGCAAAGGTGGGCACAGGGTCCCTGCCAGACACCCCACTGCCCCAGTAGCCTATCAGTAGGCCGGGCCTGGGCACAGGCTAGTTATACATTAAGCCTGTGCCAGGAGGCTCACCTGGACCCCACCCATCAGCTGGGCACCAGGGAGCAGACAGTCCCTGCCCCTGGTGCTGATAACCCAGAGTGTGCCAGGGCAGCAGCAGAGGCCTGCTGGGCAGGGTTGGCTCCGGGTTGCCAGGGCCTCTTCCTGAGACTTCTGGCCCCCAGGATGGAGCTGCTGCATGTCTGCTCTTAGCCCGGAAGGCCCCCTCCAGCCTTGCGCTGGAGAATGAGGTCCCAGAAGCAGTGGCAGCTGAAGAGTAGCTGGCACTCTACCCACACCTGGACTCTTCCCAGGCACTGGGCATGAAGGGGCAGAGGCTGGTGGGCACTGGGGATGGCGCCTGTCCCTGGCACCCAGGGGTCAGCACAGCAGCTGCAGTCCAGGAGCCAGGCTCTCCATAGGTGGCTCCACACCTTCAGCCAGTCTTGCTGAGCCTGCAGCCTCCAGAGCCTCTCTGGTTGTGCCAATCCTTCTACCCAGGGTCACTGTAGCCAGGAGAAGGCCTCTAGAGGCCACGTACGCAGAACAAGACCGCTCAGGTTCACATCCTAATTGTGGCCTGTACCAGCTACTTGACTTTTCTGGGCCTCAGTTGCCTCATCTGTAAGCCTGGGGAAAGCACCTCTGCCACAGTGAACCACAGGATGGTCTCCCACGCCCACCCTAGGGCAGTGTGCTGGAGCCTGGGTTCCTACAGCCCTGTGCCATTGGACACTGTGCACCCATCTGGGAAGTAGGAGCCCCCCCCCCCGCAGGACCCTGGGCTCACCCCTGTCCTCAAGAGCCCATCCACAGACCTTAGTACAGAAGACAGAATGGCAAGTGCAGAGGGATCGGGGACAGCCCGCCTCCCCTGAGGGAGCACGACTCTAGGCTGGGACCCTCAGTCTCTGCAGTGGAAAGCAAAGCAGGTGTGTGCTGGGCACCACCCGAGGCTCCAAGACAGGCGGCCTCGCACCGCGACCAGGGACACCTCGGGAACCCAGGGATACAGAGACAATGAGAGAGACTCAAGGCCCCGGGGACGCGGACCCGGCCCGGCTCCCGACGAGACAAAGGCACGAAGCGCGTGGACTCGAGGCCGCCCCGCG